GCAGCGTGGCGGAAGGTGTTTTTCGGGGGGGGGGGGTACTGCTGTTGTATTGCAGCTTGTGGTCCATTATCACCCCATGTTAAAGGATTAGTTCACGTCCAGAATAAAAACTTCTGCTTGTTCCCCCTCGGTCCGTTCTCCGCGGTGCCCAGTGCTGCTGCAACAGTTGCACCCCCCTAAGGACGGCCCTGATCCTACCACATACCTAAACCTTACTACCTTACTAACTTACTAAATATTAATAAGCAGCAAATAAGGTGTTTATTAAAGCAAAATTCGTAGTCAACAGTTAGTTAATAGTGAGAATTGGTCCTCAAAGTTATATATATAATATTCCCTCTATGTGTTAAATGACAATATAAATTAGGGTAAAACCATTGTGATGAAAGTCGAGCTTTTTTGATCAATACTAATACAACGTGTGAACTTAAAAAATTACTTTTATTCTGATGAACCAATAAAATGATGGCCAATATTTACAAATAATTACTTCTTAGTTTCACATTACAACATACGTAAATTGATAATTCACAAACAACATTCACTCATATGCACATACACAGAGTAGCCTATGACCCTGTATCAGGAATTAGGAGGAATGCCAGAAAATGGAATAACCCTGAACAACAGTAAAACAAACAGACAAAAATCATCAGCATAATAAAAAGAAATAATAACAATAATAATATACCAATAACAATATAGTTCCATTAGAAAATCTAAATCAAATCACACTTATTTCCAGCTTGTGGACAGATTTTAATCAAATGAAGAAACAAGTCATGAAGAACCAAATAGATTTTAAATCAAGCGGCATGATATCTTTGGCAAAGTTTGTTCCGCAGTAAATACATTCAAATATTAAGACAACACACGACACGCAGAGAAAAACACCAAGATTTTTTTACTACTAGAAAATTCAATAAAAAACATACACATTTCTTAAAGAAGCAGTTAATTCATTTACTCGTTGCAAATATCTATTGCCTTCATCTTTCTGTCATGTTGGTTATTTCATAATTTGAGTATTTTTGCAATGATCACCACAGAATACTTTCAAACCGGGCATCTCTAACTTTAGGTGGATGCTACAGATGTGTTATTGGTCTGATTTGTTTTTCTTTTTTTTCCCTTTTCTTTGAATTGAACTGATTGCTGTTATCAAATTCGTCAAAATGTTTCAAACTTTCTTAAAATCTTCAATCTTTACTTCAAAAACGGAGTAAAAAATACTTATGAACCCCTTGGGAAAGAAACTACAGAAGGAGCTTCCGATTGTACACAGAAGGCCACAATAAGGTGATAACCAAGTCCTCTGTTTTTTTAAAAGTCTGCTTTTCTCGTTGGGAAACCTGTAATGTTGATGTGGACGTACCACTTTTAGAATCAATACATTACCGAATATTCCCGTTTTAGAATGGTAAACCAAATTTTGCTTATTTGGAAAATGAAGTCAAATAGCATTTTACTCACATATTCTGATATTTTGATTTGAAGTGAGGAAAACAGTGGGACGCTAACAACTAATTGAGGGTTGTTCAGTGGATGAATGTTTCATTTATGACGCACAGTCTTTACTTTGGAAATATTTTAAATATGGAATCATTACTAAACCATATTTAGAGAGTAAACTACTTTGTTTTAAACTATTATTGGAAGCCAGGTATTTATTTTGCCACTTTTTTGTGAATGAGAGTGAATGAGGAAAAATAGGACTAATTAATTAAACTTGTCTGAACTTCTTTTATGCAAGCTGTATAATAACTTAAAATGTGCAATTAAACATTAAATAAAATGAATTTTTAATTACACAACCTTCTCAAAGAAAATGGAGGATTTTCACAAAGGTGATCAACGGCCAACTTGTAGAATTTCTAATCCGGATGGCATTGGAGGAAGGGGTTAGGAAGATCTGATGAGATTAAAGGTGCACCAGTGAGGCAAATAGAGTTCAATGGTGGTGGGGGTGGAAATGAGAAATTGAAATAAGAGGGGATAGGAAAAGAGAAAGGGGTGTTCGATTTTGCTGGTGCAGCAGGTTTTGATCATGTCAATGAAGAGGTGTGGCATATTCGCGACCTGACGAAGGACAAAAGGACTGCGAGTGTGTGGTTCATTTGTGTCTCTCTACTTTAATCCAACAGGAAGTCAATCCCTTCACAGTTAATCTAATATTCATTCTCAGTACTTAAAGGGATAGTTCACCCTAAATCACCCTCATGTCATTCCAAACCTGTATACATTTCTTTCTTCTGTGGAACAAAAGAGGACATTTTGAAAAATTGATTGTACCTTTTTTATTGTCTATATACAATGAAAGTCAGAGTGGTCCAATTAAATTATTTGAAACGACATGAGGGCGAATAAAGGATGAGTAAAATTTCATATTTGGGTGAACATTTCCTTTAAGAGAATGGAATTAATGCTACCCTCAGGAGATTACAGTACCCTGTCATATCATTGGAGGAAAAAAAAAACATTTGGGTCTCAGAATATGTGAATTTTGCTAATAAATTTGCAATTAGTCGACTAAATCTTTTATTGAATCATATTAAATCAGTTTATAACATAAACTTCTATTTCAAAGGGGGTGGGTGGTAACAGTACAATATTGTATATAGTAGGTCAGTGTTTTATATTTGATAATCATATCTAATTTGATGTTAAATTGATTTAAATGGATTTCATATTTTGCTTGTAGTTTACTTGCTGAGTTTTAATAAGATTGTAAAATTACTAGCATGTAAAAAACGCTGTTAAAATGATGGGTAGTGGCATCGGTTCGTTGATTGGTCGGTCAAGCGGTGATCTCATTATGAAATGCAGACAATTTAGCAATTTAGTGACGCGTGGTCATTCTGGATGACTCGGTAGAAAAATAAAGGCACTGTCCTTGATTTCAGCTGGTGTACTTCAGGTTCATAATGCCTCTGACTAAAAGTTTAAAAGGTCAAAGTTCACCAGTAGTCATTAGTGGTGAGTGGCATCAAGGGTTTCTTTAGAGTTGCATAACGTGCAACTTATGATCTACAAACAAATGTAATCCTATTACTACTTTACAGTCCAGAGCAACAACATAAAAACATAAAAACTATCAACTTCTATATATATATATATTCATAGGTTTGTCATTTTTTTTTCTTATTTCACATCAAAGTTTTGGTGCTTGTGACTCATTACTAAAACTACAGTGTTCTCCTTTTTCGAAAGCTACTCAGCAATGCACAGTGTATCGAAATAAAAAGCAAGAAAATCAAAAACTGGGAACACTCATCACAGACAATAGCTAAATAAAGCACACTTTTTGTCTTTCCTCGTCTACTAGAATCTAAATTTAGATAGCAATATATCGGTCAATAATGATATCAAAAGCTCTTGTCATTGTAAGTGATAGATGTACAGGATATCTCAGACAGACAAACAGGAATGATGTACAGCATGATGTTGCTACATAGAGAGTTTGGTAAGGCCTCCACCTTGGTCTCATGCATTGTCTTGGCGCAGTATGGATGAAGGGAATAAAAACAAATGCGCTCAGAGAGAACGAGCGTGAACAAAAAATAAAAAAGCCATTTCTGGATAACAGATTTGTCACTGTGCTTTTAAGAGCATCTATTTGCACTACTGAAGAGCATCTTTGGGGAGGCTAAGGAGACCATTTGAAGGGACAGACAGTATGACATCACTTCCTGTAAGGGAAGAATTAGCATCTCTAACGGTTTTCCCCTTCTAAAATGGAGCGACTTTACAAAAGTTTGTCGGTGCTTCAATGTCAGCAATCTCTTTTGATTGCAACTGATTTGTGTTTGGAATGAAACATCAGGGGTTTAAAAAGAGAACCGGCTAGGTATTCCACGGCAACATCTTTAGCTAGCAGTAGCATTTGTCCACAGTAAACTTTTACACACAATGATATATATTACTCTCCATCATAAATAGCTATAAATCTTACTAATGTACAGTTGAATAAGGGTATTCTGTACATACGTAAATAATATTTATCTACATAGAGGAAGGAGAGGAGTCTTTAAAATACTGATGCTCTCATTCATGACGACAGTGCTTAAATATTTAAATCATGCTGCTATTTTCCAACATATTACACAATGACTGAATCGCACAACAGTCCAGTTGTTTAGCTGTCGCATCGCAGCTAATGCTAAACTTGCATGTAATTCGGTTTATAAGGAGTCTGTTACGTCTAAATGGCTCCTAGATTAGAACTGAGGGCTCAAATATTCTTGTGCTTCTCATCAGGGCAGATTTCAGCATCTTCCAGTAAAATCTCTACCGTAATTACGCTACATTTTCAAGTGGAAGCGTCCCATGATCGATAGCAAAATGGGTCTGTCCTTCACGCTGGATAATTTGAATGTAAATAATGCCAATATTCCGACCTGAGTTATCTGTCCAACTCTATTAAATCTCCGTTCACTTGATACGTTAGGTTCTCTCCAAAACAATTCATGGTTTTAGTCTGCCACAGACTATGATGCCACATTCACAAAGTTAATAAAATGACTCAAAAATGAATTCAAAGCATGTAGGTCATCTCAAGCTGCCACTAGTAGATTGTCTGGTACCAACTCCCAACACCTGATCATCTCCAAGAACAGACTGCATAGAGATGCAAAGACGATAGGATAAGCAAGGCTTTAATGACAAGATAAATCAAAGCAATAACAGATTTAGTGTGAGCTGAGACCACAGGAATGCAGGTGAATGGGTGTGTACTTTCCACTAATGAACAGAAATTAGACACTTAGGCTGAAGCTACTGATTGGACCATTGATTGTAATTGGCAGGAAAACATTGTCACCTCTTCTTTCTTTCTCCTTCCTGCTCCTCCTACACTTCTTTTCTTTCTTATGTAGGCAATCTTGTGTGGGTGCTATCAATCCATTCTCACTCCTCTTTCTTTTCGTTCCTCCTCTCCTCTGTCGGGCTGGTCAGTGGCGGTCATAGGCGGTGGCAGTCGCTGTGGCAGCCGTTCCTGCTCCCCGTGTGGCTGTGCTATAGTAGTATGGAGATCCTACATGGGATGTCAAAAAAACAAGTCTGTCAGTCATCAGATTATCACTTAAATAGCTCAAACGGGAGGGATTCTAACAGGGGACAAGGTCCGGGGCCCACGTGTCAACAAGCTAGGCCCCCTGAGTGGCCCTCTAAATTCGTTATCGTCCACTAATGTAAATTAATCCAGGTTTTGAAAGTCAGTTTAAATTACTCATGTACCACAGACAGGGTTGCCAGGTTTCCACAACAAAACCCGTCCAATCGCTACTCAAAACTAGCCCAATCGCGTTTTGAGGGGAGGGGGGGTCCCGTTAAAAATCGCGTTCCGAGGATAAAATACACGTTTTGGTGGGGTTCCCCTGGTAAAATTTGCATTCCAGGCGCTAAATATCACGTTATTGGGGTCGTTTCAACTCGTGGACATGAAAAACAACCCGCGGCAACAGTGTTAAAGTAGCCCAATTGTGCGGGAAAACCGCGGACTTGGCAACACTGACCACCGATTCATTTTAAAATAGAAGAAAAATGTTTTTAAAAGAAGTTATAACTACCCCTTGAACTCCTGTTGCTCTCAAATCACATTAAGATAAATGCTAAACAAGAAGCGATGAATTCATTACTGAGAATAAGTCTGATTACAGAATGATGGATGTACAGCCCAGTGTACTTTTGATTTATCAGTCCTGGACAATCATGTCACCCTTCCTCTTATTTGAAATGACACCACCATCATCAGCTCGGTTTCTGCTGGGAAAAGACCATTTCTGCTCTATAAGACACATGATCCATCTCAATCAGTCTGTGTTGGCATTAAGTGCTGATGGACCCCTCAAAGAGGAAATGTCTTTAGTATCATCGTTAGTTTTAGCAAGAAATATTTTTCTTTATTACACCGAGACAGCGGGCATGAGCGAGGGCTATAACGAAGTGGATGGACAGCTGTGATGCTTAGTCTTTGCTGCTGGAGGTAAAGAGTTTGAAATTGTGAGAAATGTGGTGGATGTGTGTGTTTGTCTTCACTTGAAATGAAGATTATATGAGTGTGATAAAGTAGCTTTTGTGTTGCTGTAAAAACAGAGTTTGAGAGTGTGAAGTATATCAAGATGTCACTGATTTTGAGTGAAAAATCATTATTTGTTTATAGTTTTGTCAGTGTTCACTTAAAAACCGAGGAGCATAAACTCAAATCAATGAGGTCAGTCAGTTCCAGAAAAAACAAGAAACAAAACCTGTGCTAATTGACAGAAAACAATTTAACAAAAAGATTGAGTCCAATATTTGGTAATAATATTGCATAATGAACATTTTAAAGCAATTTTTTGTTGGCCGGTGATTTTTGACTGGGAACACCACAAGTGTAACAAACTTGGGGAAAAAAATCCCAAGAAAGTATAAAAATAATTGTTTTATTTTATTTTTTTACCCTGTGGTTTTTAGCCCAATGTGAAAACATTAACTAGCATTTTCAGGAAAAAGAAAATCATCTCCGGGTCAAAACGACTAGAACACAACATAATGTATATTCACAATTATTTTGCTGGTAATGTAAAATTAAGCAATATTGTGAATATTGCAAAGATTTATTAGCTTTTTATGTGCCCAGTGAGCTTACTTAGACTAGTTTCTCAATCCTTCCTTGTCTCAAAATTTCAAAAGCATTTATGATTTGATCTTTTTTTTTTGTCGACCAGTTCTGATTAACTAAATCAAGGCAAGGCAAGGCAAGTTTATTTATATAGCACATTTCATACACAATGGTAATTCAAAGTGCTTTACATAAAAGAAAAGAAAAAAAAATAATCACAACACTAAAACAAGGAATTTAAAAACTTTGAAAATGATTTAAAATATTGATTTAAGAGGTTTAAAATGAATTTAAGAAAACGATTATACATAAAATATAGTGCAATCAGTTCGGACATCGCACAGTGCTCATTCAATAAATGCACAGCTAAACAGATGAGTTTTGAGTCTGCATTTAAATGTGACTAATGTTTTAGCACATCTGATCTCTTCTGGAAGCTGATTCCAACTGCGGGCGGCATAATAACTAAAAGCGGACTCCCCTTGTTTTGTGTGAACCCTTGGTATTTCTAACTGACTCGATCCTAATGATCTGAGTGGTCTGTTAGGTTTATATTCAGTGAACATATCTGCTATGTATTTAGGTCCTAGGCCATTGAGTGATTTATAAACGAGTAAAAGTACTTTAAAATCAATCCTAAATATAACTGGAAGCCAGTGTAAGGACCTGAGGACTGGTGTAATATGCTCAGATTTTCTGGTTCTAGTCAGAATCCTGGCAGC